ATCCGGGGAAGATAGCAATAGTGGGAGACCACTCCCCCGCAAAAACACAGTCACCATATACGCTATTGTGAACTTGTCGAATGGTCTGAAATATTTGGGACGCACGATAGATAATCCGTATGCAAGATTTGCGGGGCATTTAGGTACCGGAGATCGGTTGGGCAGGACACTAGACCTCGATTGGACTAAGTTTGCGGTTTTCGAGCTCGAGACACTCCCCCGTTACTTGCCGGAAGGCCATAGGTCTAGCACACTATTACACTGGCGGCAGAGGGAGAATTCTTGGATTGCATGCATGGACATTGNCACTAGACCTCGATTGGACTAAGTTTGCGGTTTTCGAGCTCGAGACACTCGCCCGTTACTTGCCGGAAGGCCATAGGTCTAGCACACTATTACACTGGCGGCAGAGGGAGAATTCTTGGATTGCATGCATGGACATTGTCAGAAATGGTCACAATACCAAGAGAGAGATTGCATGCCCCCCTAGCCCGGGTTTGCCTTCGCATGGTTTTGGTACGCGACCGATCAAACGGTCTAGACACGAAGCACGCAAGACTACGAAAAATGGGGGTTGCCAGAAGAGGAGGTTCCGGTCCCGTGACTGGAAACGACGAATACAGTACCTTGCCAAGCTAATTCAGTACAAGCCTTATAAAGTCGATGCCTACATCAAAGCGCTAGCACCAAAAAACATGCTGCGCATGATTAGGTATGTAGGGCAGGTGGGTATCACAGAGGATGTGCATTTAGCGTTCCAGGCACTACGCAAAGCATACCTCGCGACTTTCCCCCCTCCGCTGGTTAAGCAACATAAGGTACCTCAACTGGTAGTGATTGGTTTTACTAGTTCTGTTGCAGACTCCTTGGGGCTGTGCATCAAGGCCCATCACATCAGCACACCTCTCTCGACAGCGCGCTGTGGCTTCGGATGCGCAGAACACCAAGCGGTGGGAGAGCACATCTCCCCCCGTGATAACTATGACAAGAGTGCAGATCGTCGGCGACTGGAGCTGAACTATACCGCCAAGAAGAACTGCCAGGAAGAGGTCAGTCAGCATGGTACAACACCACGCGCCAATAGGCTTAAGCATCATCAAGTTTGTGGAGACTGAATTGGGAGCAAGGCAACAACGGCAAGATCAACCCAGGCACACAACCCGATGAACCCCGAAGCAACAGCTCCGGATCATCGCCGCCCGATGTCGAGCTTCCTTCAGGCAAGTTGAGCAATGAGTTGTACGAGTGGGCTGATATGCTGCTGTTCCGCCGACTGCTGGCTCCGCCGTTGCTGTGGTCAAAAAGTCACATGATACCACCGCTTCTGCTGCGCTCGTGAATCTAGGACTGGGTGCTGCTGTGTCAACCCCACTGCTGCCTATATTCGTGCAAGACTGCTGTACAACGTACACTGCTGCTCTGCAAGTACAGGCGCAGCCGCCATGATGCCGCCATGATGTTGACGTGCACAAAAAAACGGTCCGTGTTTTGAAGGGTTTTTAGCCGGTGTCTGCTGCTGCTGAATGCTTGTGTTGCTGCGTACATGTGCATATGACTGCTGCACGATGTGCGCTGCTGCTGTAAAGGTACAAGCAGCGCAGTTATTGTGCAGGGGTTGCTCCGTACTAGATAGGGCGGGGTAATGAGCCGCTGGGTAGCGACTCAATACCTTGCAGTAGTCTTATCTGCGATGCTGATGGTGCACGAATCCCGACGCACAGCAGCGCGAATCGTTTGTGGTGCAGCTACGCGTGCACCAGAGGGACAGGCTGCAGGGGTGCGACGGGCATGACGATGGTTGTATGTGCGATCTCATTCAAAAAATTGCACTTTGCACTTTAGTCTACATGGGATTGTTTCTTTTCCGTTGATGCACACATGCACACACCCACGAAGAAACAAAATGTGAAGTCTTCTTCCCGCTGTGCGGACGCAAAGACGCACATCAGGGAGGCACGCTTGCGGCATGCACCTGGCGGCGAGCGCATCACACATCACACCGTCGAGGAGCACGACCAGCAGCGTAGACATAGGAATTGCGACAAGACAGATGGCAAACATTGCGTTAGGCTCACATCTTGCCCGCCACATTCGTCAAGTGTAGACTAAGCAGGCAGTCTACATGTTGTATCATACATCACGGGACATTACTACTTCTGTACGCAGCACCAATAGCAACAAAGCCGTTGATGGGAAATGACTCCGATGCGAGCAGCAACAGCAGGCAGGGCACGGGCTTTTCCAAGACAGGGTGTAGCGCGGCGCAAGTTACGCAACCTGAACCGATCCCGCGGGGAACCATCCTGATAACGCACAGAAGCAGCAGTAGTAGCCCCTCACGCCGCTTCGGATTCTCTCGATGGTAGGTGCGATCTCTGGACTTGGGAAGGTGTGGTATGTTGTGTGTGTTCGTTTGTGATAATGGGTCTGCTGTTGTTTTGGAGCAGTCGGTTTTGCACCACTCAACATCAACAACACCCGCCAGGTTACACACGGCGCATGAATATATATACCCACGGCGCACAGGTCGTATAGGCCCGGCCTCGTGGTTTTCATAGATAGCTGGTCTCGGATCAGCGTCCTGTCGTTCTCCTTCTGCTGATGTGGTGTTGTCCTGCCGGGGCTTGAACTCTACCGCATGTTCTGTGTGTGTGCAATCTCCGATAGCTCGAGCATTTTACCTCTCCGCAACCCCTGGGTATGCGGGGATGCGATCTCCTACGAAATTGGGCCGCATTTGCCTGTGAAGCACGGCCGTCTGTAGCCGAAGCACGACCAAACCGGTGTGACGAATAGCGCGTAATTTTTGTTCTTGCTCAGTAGTGAACCGATCGTCAAACGGTGCCCTGTCGGTCTCGTTCTGGTCCGAAAGGCGCGATGAATATGCGTCACGGAAAGCAAACCATGGGCCCCTGGAACACGCAGCGGAACTCAGGCCGATATTTAGAGGCTTTTTTTCCCTCCTGGGGATGAAGGGAAAATAGCTCGAAAAAAAAGCTCGCTCGCTTCGCTTGCTTCGCAGTTCATCATAAGTATTTTTTACTCGTACTTTCTATGTAGAAATTGAACCCATTTCGTGCCGTGCCTGCTGCTGTTTGGGGGTGTACTTGCACTGCTGCGTGCCAGTACATGCGCGTACGTGTACGTCGGCCGCACGGCATGCACCACTGCTGTACAAGTACGATTACCACAGTCATTGGCTCAGGGCCGTTTTAAACGGACCGACTTTTTTGTCAATATTTCTGAAAGTGTCAAAAAAAATGGAACCTGTATGTAGGCGTTTGTCCATTTTTCTCAAAAATATTTCGAACGAAGTTGGGCGCGAAAACTTTGCTCCACTTCGTTCCAACTTTTTGACAACCCTCTCAAAGTATTTGGAGCACTTTCCAAAGTACCCTCCTTGCAGAGGCACGCGAGGGCTGCTGCGTCTGCACCACGAGTGCCCCTCACCGTAGAAAGTCAGCTAGGGTTGTGTGTGAGTCATCTGTCGCTGTCGCTATTGCTATCGTCGCTGTTGCCAACGTTGACGATGCTGTCTGCTGTTGTTGCTGTGTCGTCCGAAAAACGGCGGTCCGCCATGATGGCTTGCAGTTGTTGCTTCGCGTCCGCCGCTTTGTTTTTTCCTTTTCCCGGGGGGGTAGGAGCAGTGGTTGCCACCCCTCGCCGGCGGCCTGCTCCACCCTCGCTCTGAGTGTTGGTGGCGGCAGCGCCTCCCGTGGTAACATGAGTGTTCCCCGAGATGCCAGGCAGCAGCACTATCTTGCTGGAGAGCAAGCCTCCACCGCCTACGGCGGCACCGAGCGAGCCCGTCTGCTGGAATTTCGCCGGGGTTTTGGTCTGCCGGCCACGCTGGGTGGTCGTGATATCCATGTCGGTGTCCATGATGTCGTGTTTTCCGCGGTTTGTGTTATGTCGTGTGTGTTGTCTCGAAGTGAGCGCTACAACTCAAGGACGGCGTCATTTTTTTTGACACAAGTTGCACAAGTCCACGTCACACGTTTAAAATGACTGCACACAGGTTCCAAGTTTTTGAAAGACAAATGTCGAAAATTTTGACAAAAAAGTCGGTCCGTTGCAAACGGCCGTCAGAAGCTGCTTCGTATGCGTGTGTTATAATCATACCTATTCTTGTGGTAAAGACCAAATCATTGCTTGTTTTGGAGAGATTTTGAACCAATTTTGTCCCCAGTTTGCTGCTGCTGTTCGATGTGCACTGATGTCTGCATGCGTGAAAGACTGCTGCACGACTTTCGTTGCTGCGCAGTGTACAAGACTATTCCCTCATGTGCCCACACTTTCGCCAGCCATTGAATTGACTTTGTCCCCATTTTTTCTCACCTTCCCCAACTTACCTCTTAACAATAAACAGGTAAATCGGAGAGGAGCTTCGGCAGGTTAAACAGAGTGCAGGAGCTGCAGTTCAAAAGGCAACGCAAGGAAGGAAGCAGCCTATCGCGTGGGGAATGGATGAACCCCACTCTTCTGACGACGCGAGAGAAGCGGTCTCCAACGGGCGTGGACGAGGCGGGAGGCAAGGCTGGACAAGAATTTCCAAAACCGTCACGCGCTATTGTACCTGCATCAGACCCAACCATCTCACCCTGAGTGACGGTTCTCCGGATCACGTTGATGAAACGAGACGGTCGATAGGGCGATAGGAGTAGGCTAAGTAGGGGCAGGTTGGTGGTGCTGATCTTGGGATGGCGTGAGTGTGGGAGAGGGGGGAAGGTGGGCGATGGACGGGGTGCGGGAGGGTGTGGGGGCGGCTATTGGGTAATGCGTGATCGGCGACGTTTGTACACGGCCAGCGTTTTCCAAGAAATATATCCAAACAACAATCGGCTTCTTGTTTGGCACGTTGTGCCGCTTTCGGGCGGTTGCGTGGCTTATAGGTTTTTCATTTTCATTCTATGCGCTAAGCGGGTAACGGCCAAGCGCACTCATCATTCGAAGATTATTTCTTGGAGGGTAGACAAGGGTAGAGGTTCCTCTACCGTTTTGTGCCGTTCGTTGACAGTGGGACTGCTTTCTGGTAAGCAAGGGGGTCCATATGCACTGCATCGTCTTGTCAAGTCGTCTTTGTTCTTGTAACTTCCGTTATTCTTGACTCCACCCCACCGGTCGTTCTCCAAGGCCGTGAAGGCGTCAAGACTCCCATGACGACTCCGTTGATCAGAAGCGCCCGTTCGGCTTCACCGGCCTCCGTGGCACGATCTCCACCTTAAGAAGGGCGGGAAGCCGCTGGCAAGGCATGCAGTCTGCGTTGTCCCCGATCATCACAGTCTGTCACAGTCTACACGTCTTTCCCGCCTTGCCACAGACGGGCTCGAAAATTTTCAATGGGTGAACTGGATGCTCCATGTCCAGTACATGGCATCGCCCATGCAACAGCCCGTACTAGGCATGAGTATGAATGATCCGGAGTGCCTCGTAGCGAAAGTCACGATCTGGTCTGATCGTTGTCAGCTGTCAGGGCTCTCATGAGCTGGAACTCTATCCTTCGTAAGAAGGCAGATGCGAGATGCGCTGTGGCTTCGTCAGGCCAGATAGACTATATCAGAGCCATCATCAGCATGAAGGCAGGTTGTGTTTCGCGCGTGGTCAGGTCTCTGGTCTGCACTGAGCTCAATCCAGCGATGAAGCTCGCCGCACCCAAAGCTGGCTGTACTTCGCTCTGGGCACAAAATGGCTTTCCGCAATCAAAATTAGCGGCAAGGCTCGTCGAGCTTTTTCGAAAGCAACGGTCTTCGCCACTGATCTTTTGACGAAACCATTCCAAGGCCACCAACACAACAGCCAGATATAACGACACCATGAGACTAACGACAGAGCCCTTGGTCCGATCACCTCACCCTCCAGATCATAACAACCATTTCAAGACCCACGTTGTGTTTCTCCCAGAAAAACTATCTCCATGCAGTGCGATGCATACATCAATCCATTTTTTTCGTGCTCTGAGTGCCGCCGTCCACACATACACCGCAACCATGCACCACGCGCGTCGGATGCTACACAACCCATGACGCCGTACCTTTACACAAGCAAGCAAGCCCAGCCTGCGACAAGAAAGCCACACGACTTGTTCCTCGACAAAGCGAACAGATGAAGCCGACATTGTAAGAACGAGCAACCAAAAGAGCGCATCACCCTCCCACCCTTCTGTCTCTCTGTGGATGAACGCATCCGCTCCTCTGGGCTAAATCTCTCCTTCGCAGGATCACTTTTCATATCGAAGAGCGCCAGTCTGCTCCTTCGCGACCGATTCGAAGTCCTCCACACCGCCCCCGCCCTTCTCTACCAAACTCTCAAGGATCCGAAATACCCCCGTTTTCTCGGGCACCCAACCACGTGCCTACACGAAGAAAAACAGACAACACCGCCTGCCAGGCAACTGACCTCCCGCAGCCCGGGCACGCCCCCGCCCAACCCTAGTAAAATCAGCATGATCTAGAGACCGGCAATTGCTGGGCGCGACGATTGGCACTACTGTGTGCCGTGTGGAACGGGCCCTTACCCGCTGCCACACGCGCGTGTTCCGTGTCAAAAGACGAACTTTTAGTCTCTTATCGTATATTTTCGCCGGCTCAAACAGACCGCTCCCGTCTCTGCACGTACTAACGGCAGCAGTAGCAGGCTGGAAGCTCCGGAATGGTCCTCGTTTCTCGACCTCGAAGAAAATGCACCTGCCGACGGCCAAACACCAGAACCTTTCCATGTCTGGAAAACCAGAATGACGCCGCCTTGTCGGGCGAACAGACGCTGATCACGACAAGATGGCCAGCACGACCGGCGACTATCCAACGTCTCTCTGAGAGCGAACTATAGACGCTGAGTACGATTAGATGGCCAGCACGACCGACGAATCTCTGAAAACCGCCGGGGCCGCCGCCGGCCATGGCTACCAGTCAAAGTCGAACTCTTCTAGCGAAGAGTGGTCCAAGGATGTCGCCATACGCTCCGAGCTGAAGGTTGCGTCGAACCGCGCGAAACTCTGCCGAGAGCAGACACGCAAAGAGGGAGAGCGGGCACGGAACACTGTTATTGCGGTGATGTGGTGGAACCGACTAAAGCGCGGTAAGGCGTTGGGCTCTGTAGTGGGAATGTTGGCTATGCAGCAAAAGGTCTGAACCAGAAAAAAAAAAAAATACGCAGGTCATCGTCACACCGAAAAAACACGCACGCGTTCAACCCCGGTGTGGCAAACCCTTTTTCTTGGCCTCATACATGCCTGGTGGTGTAGGCGGCGGAAAAACGAAACAAACATCGCAGGAACACCATCCTCGCGTTTTCCGCTGTTGCGCCCGTGTCTATCCACACCGAAGCCAGCGGGGTTCGAGTTCAGCGAGCTTGCTGGACGACCACAACCGTCAGGACAAATGACAGCTGTCACGATGTTGAGCATGACGTTCTCAACTGGCAAGTTCTGTACTGCTGGCGCTACCTGCAATATGCTCACCGTAAGTACCATGGTATCATACTCGGTGTCCACCGTAGGTTGCGTAAGATACCACACCCCCCTAGACCAACTTCAAAAACTCGACTACTCCACGAAACCGAAATAATGTGATACGTTTTCGGAAAGCTCTCGACGAGACGGCTCCAACGCCGCCATTTTCAGCACCAAGACTCTGTTTCCTGCCGAGCAACCGAGCCCCGAAAACCGGTCCACCGGGGGGGG